GTCACGTGAATCGCGCAAATCGCGCAAATCGTGAAAATCAGCGAAACCTGCGACGGATCGCAAAAATTGCAAGTGTGTGAACGTCTGTATTACTGAATATGAAACAAGTGGAATCATGAGCAATCGTAATTCAGCCATCACTATCAAGCAGAAGTGGCGGCAAAATTTGACAAAACCTCGCAGTATTGGTTGGGCGCTTGTTTCCGTGACCCGTCACGTGAATCGCGCAAATCGCGCAAATCGTGAAAATCAGCGAAACCTGCGACGGATCACGGACTCTGACACCAGCCTAAGGCATCGTGTCCGAAAACATAGTTTGTAGGCTCTTGCTTTACTTTTCGTATATCATCTACGTTTTTGAATGTAAGTCTGCAAACACAAAATTTTACTTGTTTCGTGTGATTTGGGGTACTTGCTTCTGACCTCGCAACATTTTCTGTACCTTGTATGGTGAAAAGAGTTGAGATGTATCCGCTTCCCCTTCATGGTGTTCTATCTAGGGCAATCGTCTAACTTTAAAACAAGTGTGTATGTTGGGTATCGTACTCGAATATTATGCAAAATCTGCACTTTGCTCAGTCAAAATACTTTGTTTTTTTTTCAAAATCAACTTTTATGTATGCCTGATCTATCACGTTAAGTTATGATAAGTTTTCACAAAGAGGTGCTGACTTATGTTCAGAAGCTGAGTTTTGTAGTATTGTCTGCCCATACTGAGTATCCTTTCAGGTCACATGCGCAGTTTCACATTGTGACCCAAACAGCTCGACCATGAGCGTACTGGTTGACAAACTTGCTTCGATTAAGGTAAGCTTGTTCATTATTGCGCAGGTCATTCTCATTGATCACCTGTCGATTTAGAGGACTTAGGAAGCTTCCCCCATGTAGTAGTTATTATTTGATTTTTACAGTTATTTAGTCGCGTATTGAGTTCTTAAATATTTCATCTTAACTGCATCTTTTTTTCAAATTAAAGTGTCATTGTTGTTCGCAATACGATTTCTGTAGGGGAGAGGAGTGGAGACGGGTAGGAGTGGGCGCAATAAGCCCACATTAGAGCCAGAGATGGGAGGAGAGGTCGAGCTGATTCTTAATGCCACAGGATAAGGGGCAGCTGGTTTCCATCCCATATTGCCCTCTTTTTAGCCGTTTATTGTATGTACTCAGGGCAAATTCCACTGGACTCAAACCATTATAAAGTAAACCTTGATTGCAATAGCCGGATTTCCACATATGGTTTCAACGTAAATCTTATCTTTCTTTTAAATCTTATCGATAATAAATTTGATCGAGAGGTTTGGCTGGATCTAGATGACGATATTGAAATAATCTGTGTAGGAAAAGAATGATATCCGTGGTTTAGGAAGAAGATTTGTCGCGAATGCAGTTCTCGCAGATGCCTGGTGATGTTGTCGCTGAAGTATACACGCAAAAATTCCGTGAACGTGAACGTAAACGTCAATTGTGGTGTTGTTTCGCGTGAGTTGAAAGGACTGAAATGTTTTGTATGAATTGGCGACTTATTAGAAGGCTGTGAAGCCTAGTCTAAAATCTCTTGAGCAGTTTGGAAGATGGTCAAAGCGAAAATCGGAGATAGAAAGGAGGAAAATCAACAGAAATTAGCGGAAAGATTTCTCTATTGGTTCTTATACGCACATTTCACCTCTAATTACCCGCACATCAATGTCTTCGCCGGCAAACTAGATCTTATTGTCGAGGCAGTGTCCAGAATTTCCCTGTTTCAGTTTTGATAATACAAGCTTTTTGTTAAAGGATTACCCACCCGTTAGGGTTTCCGTGCATAAACTTCATTGTAGATAACGAAACCACTGACTTCTAATTCGCGTTTTCGCGCTAGGTAAGGGTGTCTTCTGTCCGACATCAAGGTATTTTATCTGTTGTTTTGTTCTGCTGTTCTATTTTTTCTATTCCTAGGAGGAACTGTGAAAACGAAATCATTGCTTTTTCCTTGCAAGTTTCCATTCAGAATTGCTATCGTTTACGGCAACATTGAAATCACCCACTAACTCTCATTACTTCACTTATTAATAATTGTGCAAAGTCGGAAATTACGAATTTTTCAAGCCTCAGAGAATTTTCGGGCAGGTGGCTGACTCAGTTCGGAAGTCAAATTTTGAAATAGATATGGTTTTTCTTGTGTGGGCCCTCTTTGTTCACGTGGAAAAAAGTAGATCTTTTTGAAAAGTCAGGTGTCTGAGATTTTCTCAGTCTTTTATACCACATGTTATTTAGAAGGCATTTACTAAATGTTAGGTAGCATTGATTAGTATCGAGAGAAGCTAATTTTGTTCTCAAGTTCATATAACTGCCTACATCGCCGAGAACAGTATTGTTGTAGGAGCTGGATGGAGTCGTTTAAACGGCGAAGGCGACGAAGAGCTGCTAAGCGACGTTAAGGGAATTATAAAGCATTTGAAAGAATTCGAATAGTCATTCACCTTGATACGGTAGGAACTTCCTTATGAAATTACAAATCATTCAAAGCCTTAAGGATGTTATTGTTAGTTCTTGATGTGAGGAAATATGCTCTTTGGACATAAATTTTTTCCGCATGCTGCTGCATATCTTTTCTTTTCCTGTAGGAATGAAACCAAGCTGACATGTTCTGGATTATATCATTAATTTTGTTTTGCTTTTCACTTAAGAGATTCCCTTCTTGATCCATCAATGAAATCGATATTCCGATCGTGTTTATCACATAAGATCGATCATAACTGCAGTAGTTCTAAGTGAAATCAACCTCTCCGAAAAATTTAGCTGTCAATTCTTCTTCATCGTCAGCTCATTGTTGTAGTATTTCTGTTGACTTGTTTTGAAAAGTTTATTTTTCTTCTTTTGGTTTTCAATAGCTGTAGTAATTTTTACATAAATTGTCATATCAAAACGTGAGTGATACAATGTACACGTTAAATTGAAAGGCACGACCATTAGGTGTGTCTCGTAATGTTTACAATGCTCATGCAAACTTTGAGAAGGCGGCGAGAGTTTTCCCGTTAGGCCGTATGTATGGCTTTCGCCAAGGGGTGTTTTATGAACAGCATAAGGCGCACAGTGAGTGACAGACATGGTAAGTCTTTTCGAAGAGGGAAGGAATGCTGAGGAACCTCAATGACCCGTTTTGACCTTCGTGATTCCTTCCCTATCGGAAACGCCAGGAAAATTCTTGTGTACAGAGAATCTGAGAAAATAAGAAGGATCAGATTCGAACTGGCGACAAAGGGCTGGGTTTTGTGCGCCATTTAAGTACAGTACACTGGAGAGAGAAGAGGGAACGTAACATTGTAGCAATAATCGAAGGTTATCATAGAGAAAATCGAGATCAAGATTGTACCGGAAAGTAGACCTCTTCAAACAATCTGATTAACTAGCATAACTACATTATTATTATAGTTGATCTGACGTCCCCCTGAGGGTCAGGACATCAGAAGTCTCAACGACTGTGCGGCAAGTGTGTTTTTCCGTGCAACCGTCGTTCGAGTTGGCACTATTAATGCCCGTACTGTAGAGCGATACGTGCTTGACATACAGCAGTATAAAACGAATGATGTGAGACAGTTCACGAGCGACAGCAGGTCCAAGATTTCACCAACGTGTATATAGACCATTGTGTGAATGTGAGTCGGATACATGGCTGACAAGACCGCAAGTAGCCCTGAAATATGGGTTCAAGTTATTTTTTCAATTTTTTCCTGAGGGTCAGGACATCAGAAGTCTCAACGACTGTGCGGCAAGTGTGTTTTTCCGTGCAACCGTCGTTCGAGTTGGCACTATTAATGCCCGTACTGTAGAGCGATACGTGCTTGACATACAGCAGTATAAAACGAATGATGTGAGACAGTTCACGAGCGACAGCAGGTCCAAGATTTCACCAACGTGTATATAGACCATTGTGTGAATGTGAGTCGGATACATGGCTGACAAGACCGCAAGTAGCCCTGAAATATGGGTTCAAGTTATTTTTTCAATTTTTTCCTGAGCTCAAGATATCCCTGTGCAAACCTCGCAAGGAGATCATGTAGGCAAGTGACAGACTTGGCGACCAGTTGCAGCGAATATTGCATCTGAACGATGCGCCAGCGATCAATCGCGATTCGCGACGCAAAGTCTGACACCTGCCTATCCATCTAACTATAGGTCCGGTGTCAGACTTTGCGAATCGCTCGATTCGCAAAGTCTGACACCAACCCAAGAGCCGCATGATCAACATCTCTCCTCTCCGGCGACCGCGCAAACAGCAACAGGCAATCGCCGCACTTTATAGAACTTGAGTGAATAAGCTGTTCCAGCATGTTTTGTTGATTTCCAGCGATGTATGTTGGAAGCAGCCTATCCGCGCGACATCTATCACGTGCGGCGGTCGCCACGGCACTTTCGGTGACACGCCCACTCAGAGGACGAAATATGGTTGTATTTCGTGTATGTGAAAAGAAGCGTACGCGCGCGTGAGCACCCGTCAACCATGTTTCTGCTTTACTATAGTTTTAATCTGCACAGTATTATAACCCATACTGAATTTTCGACACTATTGCACTATAACCCAGACGGGCGAAACAGCACAACCCAGAAAAAGTTGAAAAATTCTTTCCTTTGAAGCCAGTCGTTAGGAGAACTCAACGCTCTGATTATGAATATGACATGTGCTTTTGACGCTAGTGCCACCTGCCACCAGTGTGACTTGCTGTGGTCCCAAATTACGTTGGGCCGGTGTGAGATGGTGCCAGCGCTGAAAAGCGGATGTCTATTCGTTATCAGGACGCCAAATAACTTACATACGCGTAAAATTTTAGCGAATCCGATTGAAAAAGGTGAAGCGTTAAACTAGTGCCAAACGGCGTCAGTGTCAACCCCTATGACTCTGCTTGCTGAAAACGGTCTTTGGCCTTGCATGTAAATTTCATCCCACTGTAGGAGGCGCCGGACATTGCTCATGAGTCGGCATAGTGTGCGAGTCAGTTCATATGAAAGTGATGTGATGGAAAAGTGCCGCTCTTCTTCACGATGGTAGATCACGGCGATTACCGTATACGCAGTTGCGCGGAGGTGAAGATCAAGGGGAAGTCTGTTTTGAGATTTGTAATTCAAATGCATATCATTCTATAGTGTTTTGAACGCTGATTTTGAATGCGGATTCTTTCTTTTGAATTAGGAGGTTTGTAGGAAGTTGTGCCAAGTCAGGACAGACAACGCAAATGTAGGAGCATGCCACCCTGGACCGATCAATGCTAGCGGTCTCGTCTTTAGCCAAGGTTCGGCGACCTCATAAGGTGACCTTATACCTTCGGCAATATAATTCATGACTATCTGGAGCTCAACTCGACTGACTCAGCGACGCAACGCTACAGAAAACATCGACTTTTTTGCACTGTTGTATCCAGACGCCCGCAACGTTGCAATATTAAGGAGGTTCGTTCTATTTTCCAGCTAAAGCCATTGTTAGACTTTGCGAATCCGTGGACTCGCCTAGCGATCAACCGTTCCACTAGCTGTTCGAGGGGTGCGAGCGATGCCACTAAATTTAGTTTTTTTCCTTTAATTTTAGCGACTAAATTAGCTACTGCATCGCTCGTGACGCTCGCACTGCGACGAGTTATTCGCAAAGTCTGACCCGCTAAGGCGCTGACTTTCGCTTTTTTATTGTGATTTTATAGATTTGTGTAGAATTTTCTATTATCAAAACTAACCTTGAGGTAATTCCGTACAGAGAAATACAAGCAGCATGATGATAAGCATTAGTGTCGTCTTGTCTATGCTGATTTTCGCACATTTTCTGAAAATTCAGATTCTTTTATTGCTCCTCTCTCACTGGTCTTTGAGTCTTACCGGCTACTCGTGTTGCCTTCTCCTCTGAGCTGTCGCCTTTTCTCACTCATCTCGCACAATTTCCAAATTAAAGCTATAGTGAACCATAATAGTAATGCACAGGGGACGGCCTGTAAGTGAACAGATTGAGAATAATCCCAGTAACAGTCCCGGTGAAAATTTCGCCTACCTTGAAGAAGATACCGGTAAGCCATAAGTTGGCTCGAAATAATGTACAACCGTTGAAATCAATTTCGTCTAACTGTACTGTATAGAGATTGTCGTACTGAAATGTAAACTTGAACATTTGAGTCAAACTGTCATAGCTTTCGGTGAGGCTGACCACGATTTCCCTAATATTTTTCAAGTATGGATGACAGCTTTCACCAGTTAATATATGTCCATTATTTATTTATTTGTTTAACCCAGAGTTTACTAACTGTATGTCCATTTATTTACTTATTTATTTGTTTAAGTCAAAGTCTATCACAATTTATGCGGGCAACTTATGCTTGCATTCGGATATTAAATAAGCTCAATGCGATGGAGTGAAAACAGGGGCACTGACTTGCCGTTGGGGAGGGGGGGGGGTGGAGGAGAAGGGTCAACCCTAGCGTGATACTTGGAAATTTTACGACCCCCTCCCCAAGGGGATTTGATAAGCGACCCTCTTTCCACACCTCAAGAGAGGTTATTACGCGCGGCAAATTTTTTCCTGCGCTCCCAACCACCTAGCCCATAAAAACTTCACTTTCACCTCAAACTCACATGTGATTTCAAGCGACTGAAACGGGTACGACCCCCCCCTCCTACAAACTCAACCAAGTACGACCCCCCGTTGTTACTAGTAACAACGTAGGGTTGACCCTGGTGGAGGTGATAAGATTCTTCTGGGTCCCATGAGCGTACGCGTTTCGTAGGGAACTCTTCGCTGCGCGGGACCTCTAGCTCCACTCCTGATAGGCGGTGGACCCGAGGCTCCCGCAGCGAAAGTTTAGCGCCGCAAACGCGAAGAAGTCGCTTCTTTCCTATGGAACCACATAGTTGTGTTGTAAAAAACCAAACAGTGTAAAGAAATTGGGGCGGCTGTGGGGGGGGGGGGGGGCAGTCACCGCGCGCGGCTGTGCGGCAACAGGAAATTCGAACATTCCAGCTTCTCACGCATGTCATGTGACTGCCCTCACCCCCAACCCCCCTGAATTGGCTACACTCCCCCTGGCTCACGAATTTCCTGTTGCCGCACGCGCGCGCGGCGACTGCCCCCCCCCCCCCCGAGGCACATTGCGCCGAATTAAAGGTAACTTGGGTACAATACAATGCAATAAATTTAAGGGGATCTTTGCTCCCCTATCGGGGGAGGGATAGGCTCCTGGGGGGGGGGGAGCAGTCGTTACCATGGCGCTCGGCCATGTTCACGCTCTTTCAGCGAAATAGACTTTTCATATATGTCAAATGACTCCCCCCTCCTTAACTGCCCAGATTCCCTTTGACTCACGGAGTTCGCCTCGTTTTAAAGGGCGCGAACATGCCGCGCGCCGCGGCATCCCATGCGTACCCCAACAGCAATAAAATAGCACCAAAACAGGTTCCTGCCCCGGGTCTGCTATAATCGATGACTTAATTAGTAACACGGATGAGATGGCCTCAAAAAATCGTTGTTGTTGTTGTTTGATGCGTTTGTCGTTATCGATTTTTTACGCGTATTTCTAAGTCCGCAATTACGACGGCTCATTTCAAGTAAAAAAACGGAAGTAGGTGGATAAATGCTTCAATTTCGATACCTGTGTGTCATTTGTTTCGGAGCACAACGCTGAGCGGTACAATTTTGTGCACCATCAAAGTAGGTATAGAGACGAACGTGACAGAAAATGCGGTGAAGAAGAAAATGTGCCTGAAAAAAAAACGTGTTTTTTGAAGTTCGACTCTTTTCGCTGTTCATAAACATTGAATAATTTTGCTTAAGCCTGAACAATAAGTTGACTTTTAGATGCTCTTTCTAAAAAGGCCAAATGGGGTGTGGTTCCGTTTCTACCCCAGTGACATGTGGCGCGTGTCGCAGACACGTGTGCGTGCGCTACCCATCATGCATCAGCCGCGCGTAGATGCGTTTATGATGATTTCCGCCTGGCAGGTCCTTGACGAGTAGCAGTCAGAGTTCGTTGCAATGGCTGGTATTTCAGTTTTAGCGGTGTTTGCCGATGTTATCTATAGGACGAACCTAACGGCACTATTATTGATCCACTTGGCATCTAATCGATCGAGCGCTGTCCATCGAATATATGCCATTGAAACTGAGAGATACAGTGAGCAAGTGTGTAGTGCTATCGATGATGTCACATGAACTATCAAGAATACCAACCATGGATAGGAGTACCTGAAAACAAGAACTTCTGAATGGGTTACAACAAAAGCTCATCTCAAACGTAGTAGGGCAGAGGCAAACGGCGCCGCTCTCGCAGACATCGTCCGCGGCTAAAATTTTGGATCGAATTCTGTTCAAAACAGTCAAGGACGCTATAGCACGGGATCGGTCAATTAGTGGAAGCTCATCTGGGGGGGGGGGGGGGCAAAGCCATTGACTTCTATGGCTCCTTTATCTCACTGCATGCGAAAGTGTGAGTGGGATGTGGAGTGCGTAGGGCGATTGCCCAGTGCCATCGTGTAACCGGTTAGAGCTGGTATAGGTCAGATAAAGGAGGACTTCCGGACCAAGAGTCCTCCCTCACCTTGTTCTTCCACTCTCTTCCTATATACTCTTTTTAGTAGTACATGCACAAAAAAGTGAAAGGCTTTGCAGTTCATCCCTTCCAGAGCAAATTAATTTCCCAGTAGATCTTCGTCTTCCTGGAACGTCTGGACATTCTGTGATATGCACTAATTAATTTCTACAGTACTTCAGAAGAGCTTGTAATAGCTTTTATCCTTTTTCAACACCTTTTATGACGTGAGCAGTGAGCTAAGCTTGAGAATTTCCCAAAAGCGTTGTCGACAGAAAAAGACATAGGCGCTCATGTCGTTAGGGGGGACATTGAAATGAGTGGGCCACTGATAGAACTTGGGACTAAGCTTTAGGGAGGGGAGGATTTTGTGAGCAACCATTGTTCTCCCTTGTATTTATTCCCAGTCCTGGGCTTAGTCCTAGTGTCACCTACCAGCGGTTTTTGAATGCTCTGCTCTGAATGTCCCCCCTAAGGACATGAGCGCCAAGACATAACAGTAAGTGGATGAACGCGATAAACTTGATTAGGACCAGCCCTGAGAAGTGTCCTATTTGAGCGAAAGTCAATGACTCTCCGAAAGGTCACATTTGGCTCCCTGGGAGAGGAGAGTTCTAGATGCGAGTAGCATTTTGGTTTGGAAGCGGAACTATATTGAAGGTGTAGGAATTTATCAGACTTTTTAAGTTTTAAAAAGGTTTCGAGACTTTCACGACAAACTTCCTGATCTAACTAGTGCGATACCCTAACCTGCTTGGCGGAATTTCTCTGGAAAGTTAGGTTTGTCAGGTATACTCACAGGTAGGGATGGAAGAGGGCGGGAGTAGGACCTGGAGAGGTGAGCTAAGCCCTAATCAAGAGGGGAAGGGGTATGGCCGTGAGAGTAAACGACTTCTATGTGAAAATGTGGCTGCTTTCGAACAGAAATTTTGAAACTGCGTGCCCGTGACTAGCCGAGGCAATAACAAAAAATGACTAACAACTTGCACCTGAATTCTGCACAATGCCACACCATAGGACCTTCCCCATTGGTTTTTTGAGAGATCTAGCAAAGAGTGGGAATCATCTACGTTTTCCTCAACCAATATATAGCTGGACTTCTCTCTCTCACCGCGATACACGTTGGGTGTCTTTCGGACAGCCGGACTTGGCTACGGTAGATCCCCAAAAACTGTCACTGATTAATCGATTCTCTTACCCGACCACTGTACCATAGTCGAAAATTCGAAATTTAAGAATGTAGATCAAATATGACGTCATTGTCAAAGCATCACAAACGGCCATCGCACACAGTATCGCGTTGATGGTGTAAGCACGCATTGGTCGACGACTGAAAAAAAGTCGATTGTAAACGATAGGGGTATTTAAAGGCAGTGATCACAATGACTGAAGGGCGTAGCGGTTTTGATGACGTCTTTAAACGTACTTGGTTGAAGGGCTAATGAGGCGGTCTCATCCTCAACCCCCAGCCCGCTGATAGGTTAGCGGCCAGAAATGGCGCTCAGTACCGTCATCAAGACCCCCGCGTCATCATGATCGCTGCCTTCAGGGCCTAGAGCTTACCTCAACACGTAGAAATGCAATGTATTGAGAATGATGCCCACTATGCACACGACCAGGCAC